GTAACGTACCAATAGGCACTGAGGAGTCATAGATGACCAAACCCACTTTGGACCATTTCCCCAGTGGGTCCAGGTTTACTCCTCTGTTGATCAGAGCCTAAACAAGAACAAATACAAAATGATCCAAGTTAAAATTATGTCATTTATTTCAAATTGAATAAAAAAAACACACCAGTACCTGCTGTATTGCATACATTAAAAAAAATAGCTTCAGATTTTTGTTTAATATAAATGAGCCAAGTAAATCTTTGTCTTTTCCAAAATGTGTCATAACTATAATCAAAGTCTGTCTTCAGCAGATGTGTGTAAATAAATTAAATCTGAAAAGCTGCTTAGTGTGTGTGTGTGTGTATATATATATATATATATATATATATATATATATATATATATATATATATATATATATATATATATAAAAAGCTTGATATTGGCACTGTCATACTCCAAAGAGTCCAGAGCATTTACCTGTGCAAGGTCTCGCCTCCTCGTTTTCAGCGTGTTGGTTCGAATTGTGACTGGTCTCTGAATTTCATTGGCTTCCAAGAAGTCAACAAGCTGCCGAAAGCAACAAAAATTACTTATTTTTCAAGCTGCCACCCATAACCTTTCAGTAAATCACAGATTTGTGGATGCAAAACAAACAAACCGACCTCTGAGAGAGGGAAGAGGTCCATTAATTTCTCAACGAGGAATTCGTTGTAGCTATAATAAGTACAAAGGTCTTTCTTCAGAAGAGAGAGGTAGTCCACTCTGGCTTTCCCCTCCTCCCTTTTTGCTGAGAAATTACAGAGGACATCAATGTTGTCCTTTATTCTCTGATGGACTCCCTTCAGGTCCAGAGTCAGGGCACCTGAAAACACAGGTGAGAGATGAAGGTTTGGTCATTTGCAGAACATTTCCTGACGATTTGCTGTCAGTTTGCAACGACAGACTCACCCTCCTCGCTCTCCTCAGCAGAGGGAAGTCGGAAGGTATCAAAATCATCTGCATTAGTTTGGATTGTTTCCTCCTCATCCATGTCAGAATCTGATTTATGCTTTTCATCACCATCGTCATCATCATCATCCTCGTCCTCCTCTTCTTCTTCATCATCATCACTGTCTAGACCCATGGATTCCTTCAGTTTTTTCTCTTTTTTGGCAGCACGTTCGATCGGAAGAAGCTGAAGTGGATCAAATCAACAGATTAAGTTAATTTAATATTTTGCCACAATTATAAAATCTAATCATTCCTGAGCAGATTTAGACTTCTGATCGAATGGCCTGAGGACTAATTTAACTTTCAACTGCGAAGTTTGACAAACTTCTGAAAGGAAACAAAAGAAAACCTGCAGACTTTCGCAATCTTCCAGAAAAGCTAAAAAGAAGCATTTCAGATGGAAATGAAAAAGTTCTACGTTAACAAAATGAATGAGCAAACTCAAAGTGTCATGCAAACACTACAGAATGGTTAATATCTATCATATTGGACTGGCTACATTAAACAGAAGCTTTTTAAATGCCAACTTTAAAAAAAAAGAGAGCGATAAATCAGATAACATACATCATCTCCATCACTGTCCTCCTCTTCCTCTTCTTCCTCTCCACTGCCATCATCTTCTGCACCATAGTCATCAACCATTTCTTCATCATCATCATCATCATCATCTTCTTCTTTTTCTTCTTCATCTTCTTCTTCTTCCTCCAGGTTTTTTAATCCCAAATCTGCACTTTTCTTTTCTTGTTCTTTTCCTCTCTTCTTCGGCAGAAGCCCCTGCTCTTCCTATTTCTTTTCCTCCTCCTCCTCCTCATCTTCCCACATCTCCTCGCTGTCATCCTCACTTTCAGGTTCATCCATTTTGCGCTTCCTCTTTGTAGGTTTCAGCCATTTACTGTTGTCATCACTGTATCCTTTGGACAACAATAATAAGCACACATTTTCAATTAAAATTTCAGACCAATGGAGAGAGCCTTTTAAGAAACATACAAAAACAACTTCTATAAATCTTCACATTCAGAACACATTTACTTCAAATTTTGCAGTGAACAAGAATCTAGGATTATATTTTTATCCAAGAATTCCTTCATTATTCGTTATGCATAAAAATGCTCTTGTTTAAAGAAAAAACAACTCATTCTTATGTATTAAGTAGGAAATAATTACCCCACTCTGTAGTTGTTTTTTAATCAAAACAGATATTTGTCATTTTTAATCTTTCAACTAGGTATCTGGGATTATATTTAAGCACAGCTGACAGGTAGAGATAATGCTAAAAACCAATAAATCAAAACTGTGTTGCTTGGATGTCAAATATACAAAATGTGAGCGGGAAAAGTGTCTTTTTTTTTATCTTTCACCTAGCATTGCGTCAGGTTGATTTCCCTTAAAATGTTTGTGTTATTTGTTGCTTTGTGTGTGTACTCAGAAGTCAAATTTCTTGAGATCACCAGCTAAAGTCAGATCATTGAACACTGGGAAGGTCGTAGGTCACCAGCCAGAGTTTTACATCCAATATTTTCAACACAAAACGTATTGAGAACCAGGTAACACTTTATTTGAAGGGGGGTGAATAAGACTGTCATGACACCGTCATAAACATGACATAACACCTGTCATGAACATGAATAAGCCTTCATGAACAGTTATGACTGTTGTCATAAAGCGTCATTCGGTAAATTATGACACTTTTAATACAAAGTTGACCTTATTCAAAATGTCTTTGCTATGACAACTTGACATTAACCAAGAAATCATTACTGTTTAAACTTTACCTTTAATAACATAAAGTTACCTAATTTTTAAAGTGAAATCAGTAATACTTTTATAACAAATTTATATCAGCAATGACTTCTTGGTTAATGTCAAGTTGTCATAACAAAGACATTTTGAATAATGTCAACTTTGTATTAAAAGTGTCATAATTTACCGAATGACACTTTATGACAACAGTCATAAATATTCATGAAGGCTTATTCATGTTTATGACAGTGTCATGTCAGTCTTATTCAACCCCCTTCAAATAAAGTGTTACTGAAAAGGATTTATTTTTGCTCCTGACAGTTTGACATCTGTCACATCCATGACTCTTTCCACTAAACCTCAAAATAAACCTGAAAAAACACCCATTATGGCAGTAAAGAATAAACAGATGTCAACAAGAAACTATTACAAAATGATTTTTTTTACAATAATAATAGAGTTTGCAGGTGGATGAGAAGTGAAAACACAGTGGAAAGTACATTAACGTGGACAGAACCAAAAATACTTTGCTTTGTGTTTAATTGATCCAAAGGCACATTTAAAATGTTGCTTATAGTGACAGGTTTATTTTCATTTCTAAAACATGACATGGACAATGGTTCAGATTGATGCGCTTACCTCTTTTGGGTTGTTTCTCAGCAACATCTTCTGGCTTTTTCAGGTTCTCAACTCTCTTAGCAGCTCTAAAAAAAATTGCAAACGTTACTAAACACCTTGCAAACACTGTGGCTGTATTTAAAGCTCACTAAGCAGTCCACCTGTTACCTTTTTCTGGCTCTACTTGACAAACGTTTTGGTCCTGCATCTTCTGCAAAGACAATAGAATGTTATACACAACCGGCAGTGTGCTTTTGTTTCCGTTAAGGATCAGTAAAAAGATACTTACCTTCTGGAACTATAAAGTTGACCAACTCAACCTCTGCTCCCTGCTGCTTTCTGGATTTCTTACCCGGCCCCCTCTTCACCTTGTTGGTAGGATCAAGCTTCCGACCCATGACTCCAACTCTCAGCTACAACCTCAAAATGAAGAAGCAGAGAAAATTAAATCCCTACTACCACTCCTTGCCCTAACAACAAATTAGTGAACATTGTTAATACCCTACATATCATACCGAGTCTGACATAAAGAGGCTTCCATTACAACGTAACCTTCAGCTCTGGCGCCACAAGCTGCTCTATAAACCCTCTACAGTGGCTCTATTTAGCTTTGACCAATAAGAACATGGAAATAAATAATAGTTCTGTTGAGTTTCCTGACAGTACAGTGGACACTTTCTAATTTATGAGGGAACAAACGTCCTTCAAAAATAATTGTGGCAAATAACATGCTGTCATGGTGAAGAAGTAATGTACATATGCACAGGTTGTAGTTAAAAAACAATTGGTAGTATAAATCCTTCAGTAATAAAAAAGATCATACCCCAAGTAAATATAGCCTGCACCTGTGTGTTTAATAAAAACAGTGATTTCTAAGAGTTTAATGATCCGATTTATAAACTATTGATATTACAGAGGGAAGTGAAAGTATGAAAACTGCTGGATTTAAAATAAAAATAAATAAAAATAAAAATAAATTAAAAACTACAAACTTATCCCACCCTGGCCAGTTTAAACTGATGGCAAACTTTACTAATACCTCTGTTTATAATAATAGGTTCAAAAACATGGCTTATGGAAACAAGACAATCAGCGACTGAAGATAATACATGGCAGACATGGGAGCTTATATGTAAAAGGGTTAGGCAAAAGATCGTATATAGATGCTATATACAGGTAGTAAAAGCCTGCGTTACTGACTCGAGTTTTTGGTTTCTAAAAGATATACGAGCGAGTTATCACTAAACTGCACAGGGACAAACGGATCTGGTTATCAAATAATGAGCCTTTTATAAAACAAGACCTGCTTCAGCGTACCCAGTTGGCAATTTAAAATGTTTCAGTTACGAAAACTTTGTTGTGTTTTTGGCTTCACAGACAAGCTTAACTACATAATACTCAAATACTCACCCACGAATCGACGCTTTTGACTTCAGACTTTCAGGTTTCCACACGTGAAATTTCCTTCAACACGTTGCTGGAGAATATCCGGCGCACGAAAATGACGTACTAATCTTGCGCGGCATTAAAATATTTTGGATTTATTTAAACAAAATGGTAAATGTTCTCATTCATCATTTATGTAAAACTAAACAGATTAGCTTATATAAATGCATTACTTTATGTGGTTACAGTATTTATTTATTTATTTATTTATTTTAAAAGAGACCTCTATGCGGTTTCCATACTGACGTCATCTTTCTGCGACTAACAAAAGGAGTCATGGCATCTGGAAAGAAGCGTGGTCTGGAACATTTGGATGAATATGAACCAAAAGCAGCAAAAACAGGCAAAATCAACCTCCATGATCGAATGGCTGAAAGAAGGCTCATTGTTATTCTGGAGGGAGCATCGGTAGAAACTGTGAAGGTTAGAGAATAACGCTGCTCTTAATTACAAACACAACCAACATCTGTGACCAGCTAACGCTGAGAGGATTTAATTCTGATCTATGCTTGTTGCTGTTTGGTTTGTGTCTTACAGGTTGGTAAAACATTTGAGTTGTTAAACTGCGATCAGCACAAAAACATGATCATCAAAAGTGGAAGAGATCCGGGACACATAAGACCAGACATCACACATCAGGTAAACACAAACCTTACATCAGCTTGAAAAGCTTTTTACACCTTTATTTATTCTGAATTATTATGAATAGAAATTGATTTCAATGCTTTTCCCACTTATTCTCAGATATGTGAAATTACTACTTTTTATCATAATCCTTGATTTGTTTTTTTTTTGTTTGTTTTTGCGTGGTTGTGTTTTTTTTTTTAACTTTTCTTACAGTATGTGCCTGATTAAGGTTTCTGAAAACAATCTGTCCCTTCATTTTAGTGTCTGCTTATGCTGATGGACAGTCCGCTGAACAGGGCGGGCCTATTGCAGGTTTACATCCACACCGAGAAAAACGCCCTAATAGAGATCAATCCACAGACCCGCATCCCCAGAACTTTCACCCGCTTCTGTGGTTTAATGGGTATTGTTTCTTTTTTGTTGTTTACAGTGGCTTGCAAAAGTATTTATTCCCCTTAATCTGCTTTTACATTGTGATTGTGTTCGGTAGATGGTGTTTGCCAAACTGCAAAGGTTCTGTTTTAATAAAAACCTCTGTGCCACTTTTCAGTGGCTGTGAGATTTGTGACATGAATCAGTGATAGTTTTCCTGCTGACAGATTTTTCCCAACCGAGCTGTGGATCTTTACAGCTCCTCCAGAGTTCCCATTGGCCTATCGGCTGCTTGTGTGATTCATGCTCTGATGTTTCCTAACAAACCTCTGATTCCTTCACAGAGCAGCTGGATTCATGTCGAGATCACAAGATTACACTCAGATTGACTCCCTTAATCAGAGAATTTATGAAGAAAATCTTTTAACATTTGATGTTTAGATTCATCAGATTAAAGGGAACTTAATAAAAATGACTGTCATGTTTTTTTTTTTTTCATTATTATTTCTTCTGTTTGTCAAACTGTTAGAAATCGTCTATCGATTCCCTTCCCCCTCACAGTTGTTCACTTCTTTGTGTTGGCCAAGCACATAAAGCTGTTGCTGGAAACTGAATTTCACCGAGGAACTTTCATGAGGGATTAACAATAAAGTTCTGTCTAATCTAACCTAAAGTACACTAAAGGTTGTAGTCATAATGTGACAAAGCATTGAACAGTTGAAGAGGGATAGCGACTTTTGCAATCTCCTTTTTAATGCATAGCCAGGTTTTCTCTCCATCTCTTTGACCATTTCTTCTCTCTCTAACACCAAAGTTCAGCTGCTGCACAAACTGAGCGTCAGGGCCGCTGACGGCCCTCAGAAGCTGCTGAAGATGATTAAAAACCCGGTGTCTGACCACCTGCCCCCCGGCTGCCCCCGCATCGGCATGTCCTTCTCCGCCGGGGAGGCCGTTAACGCTCGGACCGTGGTGCCAGAGGGCCCTGCAGCAGTGGTGATCGGAGCGTTTGCACATGGTTCGGTGAGGAGAGGATACAGATAGTTCTTGTTTCACGGTTTCAAATAATTTCTCAATATAACCCAGTGTTGGGTTTTCTTTCCCCTCAGGTGAATGTGGACTACACCGAGCAGACAGTCTCTATAAGTAACTACCCCCTCTCTGCAGCTCTGACCTGTGCCAAAATATGCTCCGCCTTTGAGGAGGTGTGGGGCGTCCTGTGACAAACGGATTACGATGAACTGCTGAAGGGAAACAACTGTAATTACATGGTTCTGATTGCAGTGGACCAGATTTACTGGAACAAATGCTGAGCGTTGCCACAAGAACAACGACAGGAGGAGGAGAGATCACCCACTCCCACATAAATATTGTTTTTGTTTGTTGATACTAAAAGAATTATCCATGAATCTGTCTTTTCCTCCATGAATATGATTTTTATTGGACCTTATGGTTACTTCTATACCTAATCTTCTTTTGTACCAAACTGTGTCACACAAAGTTTAAAATAAGATGTATTTTTAGGAGAGGGTGTTTCTTTTCCTTTTATTGCAATCTGAAACAAAGCAGCTATAACATCTTTATATCAGCAATTAACGGAAAATAATTAAATGGATGAAAAGTTTTTATTCAACACAGTTAAAGCAACAAAGAACGGTCAGATTGATAAAAATACTTCAGTTTATTGCCAGTCTTAGTTCTTCTAGCAACTCCTGCAACACCTGCGATGCTTTCTCTGCCGCTTTGATCTTCTTGTAGGAAGTTTCCGTCTTTGTGATTGTTTTCTCCTAGAAGATTTGACCTGTTTTGGTTGATGCCTATGTGTCTTTTTAGTCTTTGCTGGTGGCGTTTGAGCTCGCATGGATCGGTTGTTTCTGAGTTGAGGTCTCTTCCTGGCTCGTTTCTGGGGTTTTCTTTTGGGTTTGGGCGACTGCTTTCTTTGTTTCTTGGACTTCGGTGCTGCTTTGTCAGTGTTTCTTTGCATTTTTTGTATTTTGACTTTTGCTTTGGCCAGATTTTTGTTATTTTTCTGTGTCTTTGTCTCTTCTTCAGGGTTCTTTTGGGCTGAAGTCTTCTTCGCGGGCTCTTGTGGGGGCTTCTGAGATGTTGATTTGTTCATCTTTGCACTCTTTATTTTTATTGCTTTCTGTTTTTAAAGGGATAAAAATGTATACAGTAAAGCTGATCTGATATTTGACCAAACAGTTACTAAAATTGTAACATCCGAACATCCCGTTAAAAATAATCTGGATACAGAGCTGAAATGCCACTCAGTGAAAGGAGCAGATTCGGGTTTTACCTTATTGTTGAGTCTCAGTGAGGTGTTTCTCGTAGTTCGCACCAGTGTCTTGTTGTTGACCAGCTGCTCCGTCACCACCTTAACTTGCCGGTTGTTCTTTGCAACATCATAGCCTTCGGCGGCCAGTGTCTCCTTGAGCTCATCCATGGAGATGCCACCTTTATGTTTGCACTGGGAGACCACATTGAGGATGAGCTTGGAAACCTGCTGCCTCGAGAACTTTGCCGTGGGCGCATTATCAGCTTTCTTCTCGATCTGATGCTTGAAAAGACGAACGGGAGTCTCTGAAACATTAGAAGGTTTTAATTCTCGCTCTTTAAATTGTATTTTGTATTGTTAAATAAACTGAAAGATGTGGAAAATATAATCAATGTAGGAGTCAAATGATAAAATCCGCCAAGTTTAAGAAATGGAAAATGTTGACAGACTAAGTAGCTTAAGGTGTAGCTGGAAGGAGCTGAACATAAAGATTTAAACTCGACAGCAAGAGGTGTAATTGGTGAAATGTTTAAGAAATCAGATGAGCGGAAGCTACTTATCTTTCAGTCCAAGATATCCTATATTGTTTTTGGAGTTGGCTTTTTTTTGGCTTTTAATCTCTTTGCAAATAGTGACATTAAATTCAACAACTCAGCAGTTAACCTGAAACTTTCCTTAGATTTGACTTACTTGGAAGTGCAGCCACGGCCGTCGGTTCCTCCCGAGGCAGAACGACTCGCTTCAGAAGCCGACCCAGACGTTTGGCTCCGGCTTTTCCAAGGCCTCTTCCCGCTGGGTTTTTTGAGGGATTATTGTGCTGTTTTGACACACCTAATAGTTTCTTCTCGTTTGTTTTAAAACTGATGGAAGAATTTTCCTTGACCCCTCCCTGCAAAGCCTTTTTTGCTCCGTTTTTTTTCTTCATTTTATGAAAGAATCAGACATTGTAACCCAGAAAGAAATCAAAAACACGGAAGCTAATTTTAAATGGCCAGAGAGTTTTTTTCAAAATCATGCTTTGTTGCATTTAAAAGTAAACAACTGTTTTGTATGTTTTTATTTTTTACAAATCTGTTCCCATAGCAACCTAATAACAGCTGTGATAAAGCTCTGGAGAAGTGCCAGAGCCATTTCAAATGAGTTTTTAAAGGTCTATGAACCAGTTAGTTTGTTTGTGTTCAAATATTATAATAAACTGAAGGTGACTGCAGAATTAGAGTAGCACCTGAATTTTTTTTTACTTCAGTGCAGACTGGACTTTTTGGCAAATCATGCAAATTAGTAGCTTTTTGCAATAAACATACTAAACAGAACCATTTAAATAACCCAACAGAACCAATGTTATACATGGTGTCTACAAATTAAATATGAAAATGCAACTTTTAATCACTTCTTGTGACACAAACGTATTAAACTCATTCATTACAAGAGTCTGGAAAACGTATAGGTTTTTCCAGTATGAGCCAATGGAATTTTTTGTTTGTCTTATTTGATTCTACTTGTTCCCTTTTCCAGAAATGGCAGCCACTAATGTCTTCTTTCTGCCACGTCTCAGTGGCAACGCTGCTGTTCCTTTAACTTTGAACTTCTAAACAATGCTTTCAAATGCATCTTTGCGAACATTTAGTGGCTTCACTGTCTCTATGTATCCTTTTCGCTTTTTAAAAACGTCATAGCGGAGCATCTGAACCTCATTTTCTGTCTTGCACAAAATCTTGGAGAATATCTCTCTAATCAGAGCAGATAAAGAGTCCAGAACCAATTTTTATTGATTTGAATGAACATTCTTTGTGTCGTTACAAAATACCTGATTCTTTTAAATCTTCACAGATAAACTACTTCTATCAGTATTAATAGATTTATTTGTATTCAAGTTAGAGGCCCAACGAAGCAAAATTGTCATAATTTGTGTTTTTGAGAGATATGCCTGGATAAAATGCAATAAACAAATTCTTCCTCTGAGAGTGATATTAACAGCAGACAGTTCACATAAAACACGTAGCTTATACTTCCTTTGTTAAAACTCTCACCACTAAATAAAATTATATTTAAAAAAATAATGTTTGTTATTTAAACCAATCCCGAACAACTTGTGCAAGTAATGCAATTTGGATCATATTAGAAAAACAACCAGGGCTAGTAAAAAAAACTGCAGTGTTGAAGTGTACATATATGTATTAAAAAAGTTTTAATGATGTGAATATTCCTGAACCCAGAATATTTCTGGGGTTGACGTCCAGCTCGTGGTTACAGACTGTGGTCAGCATGCTTGTGATTTGTCCTGCTGAGTTTTAAGTGAGCACTGTGGGCTTGTTGAACACAGACCAGTCTGGGAACACATGACCGGGATCAAGAAGGAGGCGTCCAGAGGCATGGACTCACCGTCTGGGTCAGTGTCACAGCTCACCTGCAGGACAGTAAATCATTACAGCTAGTGGCTCAGAAATACAAGATAAAACAGCAGGGAAGTCAAGCTGGTAATGGAGAGATTAATTCATTTATCTCTCCATGTCCACCTTTTTCTCTCATTTCCTGTTTTTCTTATTTCTTTCCTCTTTTCTCTCCCTTTCCTGCTCTCTCTTTCCTTCATTCTTTCACATTTGTCCTACTTTCCTTCTTCCTTTCACTTTCTTTCTTCCCCTTTCTTGACTTTCTTCTTTCCTTCCCTCCATCACTGTTTCTTTTTCTCATTCTTTCCTGCTTTCCTTCTTTCTTTCATTCTTCCATTCTTTCCTGGTCTCCTTTGTTTTTTCCCCCTCTCTTTCCTTCACTCTTTAGCTCTTTTTCCTACTTTCCTTCTTCCTTTCTTTTTCTTTCCCTTTCCTTACTTCTTCCTCTCCTTCCTTCTCTCTTTTCCATCCATCCATCTATCCGTCCGTCCGTCCATCCATCCATCCATCCATCCATCCATCCATCCGTCCATCCGTCCATCCATGCCAACCGTACCGTTGTGCTGGTCGTTAGGATGAGGAAAGGCCAACATTACCTGAGAGAAAGATCTGAAAAACAGCTGCGTGTGATGTAACCCTGAAACCGAGGTGTCTGCAGGATTCTGGCTTAGACTCTGATGATAGGCCTGAGGAAAGAGGAAAAAATGTGAAAGGACAGACCTAAAGTGCTTCACACAAAACTCCGTAGCTTCAATATGCTTCCTTACCTGCAGCGCCACCTGCAGTGCAGAGTATTGCAACCACACCTCCTCCTGCCGCGCTGTAGGCAGAATAGTCGCCCGAACTTGTCCTGCTTTTTCAGTAGCTTTGAGGTAGTGAGTCCACACACATTCTCCCACAGCACGCATAGTCGGGCTGTGAGAATAAACTGCAACACAACAGACATCATAGCTTAATATCGACAAAACTGATCCACTTTTACACTATTACAAGGGCTACGATGGAAAAATGGATATTGAACACATCCCTGCTTTTCTCTCTAAATATATTCCTAATGCGGTTCTTATGATGAAATTCAGGGCACAAATCAGTGATAGTCCAAGTAGTCTATACATACAAAAAAATGTATTAGCCTGCAGCAAAATTTATCTTCTATCAAAATCTAACTCTCATCTGCAGTTTCAGAAATAAAAACATTAAGCCACAAGAATGGCTCAATTTGCTGACTTGAATCCTTCTAAAGCGGCAGTATTGTTTATTTTCCAGGTACATGGTGACATTTTGTAGCACAATCAAGTAACTATGTTACCTTCAGTTGTTATGAAAATGTTCTATCAAACATAATTTAAAAACATTTTTGACTTTGTATTACATTACGTTCAATAAAATTAAACTATCTAATTTGATGCTTTGAAATTGGCCTCTGTCTCTTTAAGAAGCTCCTACTCTTCCCGAAACACTTGCAATCAAAATCTGAATGCGTAGTAATGAGCACAAAATGCAGCATAATGCAAGACCAAACGTTAAAAACACAAATCAACTTTTAAACTTTTCTTACTCTCAGGCAGAAACAGATGAAAGATATCTTTAGCAACAAGGAAACCCACGGCACCATAATTCATGGCCCTGTTCACAAGAAAAGAAGTGAGTTGTTGTGATCAAATCAGCAAATAATACATCCGGCAATGTTTTTCCTTGAACATAACTTACTTTGGATAGGTGGGGTGGAAAAGAGGAGGGACGAACATTCCCATTGGGAAGAGAAGTCCGTTACTCACTAGAGAGGGCGCGACAGACAGGCTGAAATAAATATGAGAGGATTATTGCATGTTTCAAGAGTTTATCCAGAATTTAATAGCTAAACGTGGTGAAGGAGAAACTTACATGTCGGCGTCCTCAGTCTGCGTAGCCAAGAGTTTACTGCGTCTCTTCTGCCAAAGGGAAAGTAGCTGAAGGTAGTTGCTAAAGAAGCCACTGGAGCTGACCGTCACCTGAAATCATTGGCGTTACTGGGTCAGTGTTTTCTTTGTCCATTAGCAGTAAAAAAAAAAAATGCTCTTGCTGGCAAATTGCTCTATTAAAATTGCTCTTGCCAGACAAGAGCAATTTTAATACCCCCTTTCAGCAACAGCTGTTTAGATTTTGTGATTTTTTTTTTTTCATTTCGGCATTTGATGTTTTTTCCAGTCGACTGCCCCGTGTTTGATCATTTTCAAAGGAATATTTTTTGTTTGTTAAGCATTAGCTTGAACCTTTGAATCAAGAGAGATCACTGAGGGAAGTTCTCAATTGTTTATTGCCAACTTCTTCATTTTACTGATACTTCAAGGACACACACACTGCACAGCAAGCTACTATGGTCATGCATAGTGCCACATCTAAGCATTCATAACCCTCAAGCCTCTTTCTATTTTGAAATATTTCAACCACAACCAAACCCACTGAATTTTGGAGGGATTTTATGTGATACACCACAGGCACAGATAACAACAACAGCTGGTTACTCAGAAACAAATTACACATAATTTTAGTTTTAAAAAAAATTCTGCTGCGTACCTCAGAGAACAATAGGTCAAGATCATCTTCATTAGAAATCTCCTTTGAGGACAATAGTCTTGGAGGTGAGGAGTAAACCTGGAGAAAGAAAAGCTCCAGTAACGTTAAAACTGTAAACGAGATGCAGACTAATTCAAATCTAGAAATTCAGATTTCCTTTTCACCTTGTCAATGAAACGCTGAAAAGAATTTTGATCTTTCCACCTGAGATCCATTATTTTAGATATGAAGGCAAAAAAGACATTTTCAACAATTTCTTCTGTCTGTTATCGGGGGGGGGGAGGAATGCAAACTGCGTTAGATGGAGATTTAAATCATTCAATCAGTTCAGTTTGTGTTACGGTGTCAAATTCACCTCTCGACGCGAAGTCGTCTCACTGAGAAGATGTGCGAGAACTGAATCAAATCCTCTTTCGGTCTCCAGTATGCAGCGTTTCCAGCGAGGGACTTCCTGGTAAAAAAAAAAAAGTCCCAACACATGACTCAATTAATCCATTCACACTTCTGCTTGTGTTTTGACTCAAGCCATCCTGACTGACCTCTTCGATGTTCCCCAGTGCCAAAGAAAAATTCCTCGCCGTTTCTGAAAATCTGAAATCCATGGCGGGCATCAGGGTGTGCAACAGATTCAGGACCATAAAGGTGTGAAGAGTACCGCTTCGCCCAACAAAGTGGCAAGAAAAGATTTAATAAAAGCACTCTGAGACACTAAGATCCTGTTTTAATAACTTAATATTACCTGTTACTCATTTCAGACTTATGCAACCATTTGTTGATGATGCGGGACATTTGAATGATGTAAGGTAAGTTGTGCAGGAGGACATGATCGTCTTCTGTGAGGGACAGAGGATGGAAAGCAGCCTCCAGACAGCCCAACCAGTCAATAGCAGGGGCCTGGCTCTGTGGGAGAATATTTATTTTCATCTGTAAAATTATGCTTCCAGAGATATAAGTCATTGGTACCACTGGTACTGGTTTAAAAGTTTTAAGGTGGTGAGCCTATGGTGCCGTTTGTAGCTCAAGAACAAATAGTAAACACTACGCGTTGTTACTGTAAGTACTTTATGCTGTTGCAATATATAAACATTATCTACTGTAAGTATGAGGTTAAGTTTTATATTGAAAAAATATAAAAGTGTTGTAGTTATGTTTTTTTACTTGCATTACCTGTTCCCATCTGACCTTGCACACATATATAAACTGCTTTCACCAAATCCTTTTAAATATCCTTGATGACTCCTTAAATTAATCTTAAAAATGTATCCAGTGCAAATGTTATCATGGGTCTCCAACATGTGGTGTGCTGCACTCAGATTTTGTCTTGCCTGAATGCCTGTAAAAATATGTCAGAGCATGTATAATAAGAGTAAGTTTAAGTCGTAAAACGTTGAAAATTATTTCCTGGTTAGTCCTGAATTGAAACAGTAGTTAATCTAACCCTGATTGTGGACTTTCTCTGTGTTTAGCAGAATCGTTAAATGTCTGAAACAATGAAACACGGACAGAGCAGACCGGACTTGCACCTGCAGATCTCTTATTGTCATTCGCTGATAGAGCTGTCCCTTTGACAGGCGGTACTGCAGAGGTGAAGCGGCGACAGCGAGCTCTGAGGACAGAGAGATGAACGTGCCAACGTGTAGCATCCTCATGGACGGCGGGGATCCCAGGAAAGCCAGGTAGCTCTGACATGATGCCAGGAAGGGACGCAAAGTCTGCATTCAAATATACTCTGTTAGATTAAACATCGACTTTAATCTGGGAAATATCTACTGCAGGAATTAGGACATGAGTGACCAACCTCAGTTTTAGCTCTCGACTTTTGCGTGTTGCTGTTCCACTCAATTGGGATCAATAGATCCGGCTGATCAATCTGTTAATAAGAGGACGAATGCTCGAGTTAAGACAATAACATCATTCTGGCCTTGTTTACATCAACTTGCTGTATTTTTGCTGCACCCTAAAACATTTGGGTTATAAATATCAGATAATTAAGACACTGGCCTGAATGTATCTCTTTGTCCTGTTGCTGGCAGCTTCATTCGGGTCTTTGCCTACGTAGAGGTTGAAGAATGGAAACGTCTCATATTCCCTCATTAACAAACCGAGGGTGTAGTTGAAGTCAGTCCTATTCCACTGTCCGGACACAGCCCAGCCTCCCAACTGTACACAGATACACAGAGAGAAATTTGACAAAAGCAAGAAAGAGGATAATAAACACAGTCATATAATTGGATCGACTAGGTGGGTTGACTCAGATGCTGCGGGGAATAACTGATTAAGTTTGTTGCCTCACGTTGTGAAATATCTTACATTTGAGAACATTTCTTAATATAAAAGGTTGGAACAAGGTTGGTTTGACAGTCTCAGGTTTTTCTGTACTTAACGACTGAAACAAGGATGCAGCCACCACTAAAAACAGCCTGTCAGTTACATAATAAACTGTCTTGAAACGAGTTTTAAAAGAAGCACCATGTTCATACCTTCTGGATGAGTCTGAGAAATGGCTCTGCACCCGCAGCTTCCAGAGATCTGGTGTCTAAGCAGGAATGGTAGAAGTCTTTAGTCTTCTGAACTGCTGAGCTGCTTGAACTTTGGTTGGTCTCTGGTAGACAGATAAACAAGATTTAAACCGATCTTTATTAAATCTTTATCCTGGTCAACCTCTCCATTTCCTGTCAAAGAAACACATTTAAAGCTGCAATCACCATGTCTGACAGAGTGACTGATGCTCCAAGCCTCCTCTACTAACCACACATCCTATGAAGTCATGACCACAGAGGTGATTGTAGAATATATAGCCAAAACGATTTACATACACACATGAACTTTAATGCAAAAGCATAATGTAGAGTTGGTCCACACTTTGCTCCTACAACGCTACACTCCTCTAATACCCAGAGCAGTATGAGTCACTCCTCTCCTCTGCATTAAACATTTCGCATTACACTTGGTAATTACAGCTTGGCAGCAGCTGCTTAGTCATGGAAATCTATTCCATGAAGCTCTCTATGCACGGCTGTTTAGTTAATCTCCTGGTTGTATCACATTTTGGAAGTCTGTAGCTACTGACTGAGCAGAAAGTTGATGAACATGGGACTTTTCACTTTGTCGCTGAATACAGGAATTCACTGAGCCACTGAGATTAACCCATTCATTCAGAACAAAATTGTTGAAATAGTCTGCATGCCAAGATGTATAATTTCATATATCTGTTGTCTTTGAACTGATTAAACTCCTGAATACAAAGATATGGAGTAATGACTTTAGTTTATGCAGATTTTTGTGTTGTTGTGGTATGCAAGTGAGTTTTTCCATATCTTAAACAATTTAATATTTCTTTTGATGAAACGTTGCCACAACTCCATTAAAGCACAATTTGCCATGCTACCTTACTCTATTCAACCTATGCATTTATTTTGTAACTCCAATACAATGCATGGCAATAATACACTAATTTGTCAACCTGATGACACTTCTAGTTTTTGAAAGCATGCATTTTGCATTTTCATTAAAGGTGACGTATTATGCTTCCTTGAGTAGGTCAGAATAGGTCTATGGGCTATTAAAAATATGTTCATCACATTATTTTTTTTTTTTTTTTGCACAAAATCTTTCTTAGATGATGAGATTTTAGTCTGGTCAGTTCTGAATATTTTGAGTTCATTTCAGAATGAGCTAAAACTGAGCTGTCACTTTAAATCCAACTGAGCTGCTGCTGCTGGCCACGTCCTCCAACTCAAAGTTTACACTCACGACTGCAAACAGATGCACAATTATACAACCATAAGACTTTGAGGAGCATTACTAGAGACTCCTGCGTTTGGGCTGTTTTTGTTCTTTTTTTGTTTTTTTTTTTAAAGCAGTTTAGACCCAAGTTGAAGCACAAAAATGTAGAAAATATGAATTTTTACATCAAGCAGAATCTTGATACCATTCTGGCTGCCTCATCCAATGTTTGGTCCTGCTCCACAAAACATGACAGATGGATCTGTTCACATGGACCCAGCAGAGGTTCAAATATCTTGGCCAGGAGGCAAAAAAATAACATCTCACTCTGTGTTATCAGGAACATTGGTCCCCTTTATGGGGGACAAATTGCATCTTGCTGTACCCCCGGCACCCACAGCCATATTCAAGCCTTCAGGCCAAACACTTACAGCCCTCCACACTGTCACTAGCTTGACTACATAGATTCAGCACAAGCTCCATTCCTCCCCGCCAATCTCAGAGCCTCGATTTATCCTTTTGAAGGTCTGGTTGACAACACACACTCTTTCTGTGGGACTCTGTCCAATGCTTTCTTTCTTTTCTGCCCATAGTTTCCAGTGTGTTCCACATCGTTGTTTCCAGCCTCGTCTCTTGCTTCAAGGATTAAAGCAAGAGAGTCTAAACCATCATCCTCTCCATTGTTACCTCCATCATCTCAACCATTATGCTCTCTGGACTCTCCTGCATTATCTGTATCCACAGTTTCCTCCAATATCTAAGCACAGTCATTTTTTTCCCCTCAGAGTATCCCAAGTGCACCATAACCAGATCAATAAACCAACCAGCTGCACATATTAGAAACTACAAAAAGCTTCAGATTGTTTCCTACCTAAAATCCCTCTGAGATACTGCAGCAGCAGAGTTTTTCGGCTCAGAGTCGTATCTTCTCCCAGTCTTCTGTGTTCACTTTTATTTTGTTTGTCCGTTTCTGCTAACCTTTCAATCGGGTTTTGTGAATGACCCGGTATACCGTGACTTCTTTGTCTCCCTTTGCTTTTGAGTCCTTTTGAACCACATATGGACACAAAGTAATCACAGGGCTGGGCGAAGGGGTCAGTGGACATGGACAGACGAGCAGCAGCCCACTGACAGGCGGCAGAAACACACGGGGTTACTGTAGGACACAGTGGAAGGACAGTTAGACAAGTCGGTAAACCATTTTAATACGTTATTCACGATTGGTTCTGGAGACCTACCGTTTGCTGCAATGTTCCCACTCCCCGTGTGCAGAATGTGGTGAAGGTAGTAGACTAGTCCCAGAATGGCAATTCCTATAAATAATACCAGAAGAAGACCGAACAGTCTCTGAGGCGTTACCCACGCCGACTTTTCTTGACGCTCAGTGTTTAATAGTTGTGGTTCCCCAGGCTGGAGTGGGTTCTGCTCCTGGAGCTGGTGGGAACTCTGAGGTTGTTCTGTCAGCTGCAGCTGAGGCGGAGGCTGTAGCCGGCTCTCTGGTTCTGGGCGTGGCTCTGAGTGGTCCGACTGCTGAGGCTGGAAGAGGGCGAAGGAAACAAAACTGTAAGAAAATCTGAGGAAACACTCCAAACAGACCAACTGTTGTGCAGATCTGCTCCTGGGCTCAGATGTGGGTGCATGAACACACACATTAGTGTGCCACTCTGCAGCACTTCTCTGCAGGTGAAAGGAATCTGGTCCAATCAGCAGCGCCCTCAACTCAGGTAACATAAGGAATCCACCAACCATTTGGCTGATTTTGCAACATGAGCTGAGGAAGGCAGACAGCCTCCAAAACAGCATTTCATGGGAAAAGGACTTGGTTTAAATAAGGACTACCAGTAAGCCGTTCACTGGTCTCAGCTGAAATGCAGTTTGACTTTGGATTTGCATTTGAGAAAAAGAAATACAGAATTTATTGAAGGTACAGTTTGCACTGCTAGTTTTTACAGTTAGGCTCTATTAAATGCATATTTAAGACATTTAATGTAAAAACTTATGTCCTGAGGAAAAGGGGAAAAAAAGCGAAAGAAAATCCTTAAGTCTCTTCAAGTATGGGAAGCCATGAAGTTATAGAACACTTGACACCAACGTAAAAAAGCATAATGTTGAAGTAAAGTTAAGGGTCTGACAGGTGAGGATTAGTCCCTTTATGTTTCCATCCACACTGCAATTCATAGCGGAGGCAGCATCATGTAGCAGGGACACGTTTCAGCAGGAACAGGGAACCTGGTTGGAGTTAATGGAGAGACGCATGGCGCTAAACACAAGGAAATTCAGGAAAAATACCTGCTAACAGTGTCTCAAATTCCATGTCTCGAGATTCAGGAATAAAATTAACAGTTTACTACTGGGCTTCTGCAGAACATGAAGGCATGCCAAGAGGTAAATCAGCCATTTCAGTCAGGCGTGAGTAGAGATGCTTTTCAAAGCCAGAGCTTTAAAGGATTGATTTAGGTGAAAACATTTTTTATTATATAAGAATGAGAATACATCTTGTGCAAAGGGACGGTTCTTCTTGTTGCAGTAATGCATTTTCATAACTTCCTACATGTTCAAACTGTGTGCTGCCGTTTCAACTTGGAAGCTGACGGACAGTGCTTTAGTCCCACCACCAGATTTTTAGTTAAAATGTTCTGGTATTTCAAAGAGTTAATGTTGCAATTCATTCTAAAATGACTTTAAGGGTTATTAGATGATAATTTGACATCACAGATCTTCCAACATACTTCAAAGTAGGTCAAAGCACACAATTTCCTATTTTTTCTTCAGAGAAACAGGAAGTCATAGGTTACCTGTAGATTAAGAAACTGATGGATTTGAAGCATATCTTAAGGAAATCAGTACACTATATTTTGTAGAAATTGCTTGAGGTAACCAAGCAATTTCTACAAAACCAACCAATATTTCTAATAGTTTAACACATATCTTTCCCCCCCCCACTACTATATACATTTTCTCAAACTAAAAATTATATTTTCCAAAACAAAAAGACATTGTGTGTGGGATCAGGTTGCTGCAAAGGCGACGGATTTATTGTAAGATATTTTTATTAATTTTTACATGAGGTGGCAATATTAAGAATGAAATACGCAGTGCAATAAGTAAAGTTGCACCTGACATTTGCCAAGTTGAGCTGTTTGAGTCTTTGCAGTAATTTTACGACAAAATATGGCCGTTTTTTGTTTGTTTTTTTGTTTTACTCTATGCTTTCTGAAGCCCAAAGATCAATGTGTCGTGCTGTTTTCCGAGTTTTGCATTTCTTATTATTATATCATAGATAGAATTTAAACAATTCTCAAATTTTAAGTAATATACGTTGAAAATAACATACTAAAATTGCGGACCCATTTTTTTTTTTCACGACTCTTCAGGGAAGGGAAGTGTTGGACCTCACCCAAGTAAGTTTATTTAACCTCTGAAAAAAAGCTTCTGACACTAGCTAATGCTAACTGCTTTCCTTTTAATCTAATCTTTCCTTTATAGCATTATGTACCATTTCCTATTTAGTTTTAGAATTTCTTCTGAAATATTAGTCGTAATTTCAAAAATATATTTTGCTCTTAAAATAAGTTTTGAAAGCACGAATTTGTAAAAATGTAACTTTTGTCAAAGTTAAATTTTGCTCCACGTTTTCTGCTGATGACGTAGTGAGCGCCAGGTGTTTTTCGGAATCAACTTTCCCCCCATTGACCTCGGCAGACGTACTTGCAGAAGTCAGTTCGTACCTTATTACCAAGCAGCGTTATTAGCATTTAAACACATGACTGTAAAGACCTTACCTGAAGCTCGATTGAAGTTTGACTCATTCTTGCCCCGTTTCTGTCGCTGTTGTGGCGTTTAGGTTTCACACGCACCTCCTGCGGCCGCTGCGTCAAAAGTTGTCATCTCTGCTCTGTATCTCTTTTCATCACTCTCTTTCCTCATCTGACTCTCCGATAAAAACAGCTCTGCAGGTTTCGTCTTCACCTCTTCAAAATCCAAATAAAGCAGGGAGTACCCCTCTGCTCTCCACGGACAGGGTTTAGTTTTTGTTTTAGACAACAGCAAAACATTTGTTCTCCCCTGTCTGCCGTGTCAGGACGGAGAGCTGTGATTGGTGAGTAAACACTAACGCATCGCTTCTGCTTATACATTGCATTAAGTGGGAGGTAAGTTTGTCTTCCTGGAAAGGACCTCTACGCGTTGCACACGCACGTTTGCTGTCATTATCAGTGCAGCACATGGCTGGGAGGAACTGATAGAGCGGCCTGGAGGTCCCATTCTGACAGAAAAGCACAGAAAACAAGTTTCACTGATGTCACGTGGAGAGTAAAACTGGACACGTATCAAAAGTTCAAAAAAGCAGAAAATATGCACAAACAATTGGCAATAAGCATTTGTTTTTAATTTGATCTTTTGATACAGCCAAAAAAAAATAAAAAATAAAGGGTCGAGGCTAAATGATGACATTTTAACACATTCTTATGTATCAAATGTATATATATATATATAAAAAAGTTATATGTAAAGACAAGGCATTCACAGGTAATACAATGATGCACAATGTAATGCCAAGTCACTGAAGCGTCATACCTAAAATACACAGTGATGGCAAAGACTCGGGAACAAAGTTGAAAAACATTGGCGCATAATACAGAAGACATAATACTAGGAGTAAAGCATGCATCACTATCATCTTGAGTTCATTCTGGTATTTCGCTGCACCAGGCTCAATTCAAGCGCAACAAACTATTTTCTTACTCAGAAATTATTTTCCACAACAGCACATAAGGTTTACTGGAAAGAAAACAAAACAAAACAAACAAACAAAAAAAAAAAATCAGTGGAATACTGGAACAGGAGTGTTGCCAAAATGAAAGTCTTGAATTCTATCATTGAAGCACATTGCAGTAGAGTAGGAATGACATTTATGTAACCGACAGGAACAAACAAGTGTAAAAGGCTGAAAAACAAAAAAATAGTGGTATTCACAACAATAGAACAAAACTGAGCAATACTAATAACATGAAACATGATCGGAGTTTAAGTTTGCCATCTGATTTGTGAAATCCAACTGCTTTTGCAGTTCTATTATGCTCAGACACACATTAATACTTTTTAACATTAGATCCATAATTTACATTGAAGACCTTAGGAAATGCTCTCTATTAAAGCTACTATAGATCTATACTTGTTTTTATTTAAAAATGATTATGTGCAGGGATTGTTCTGAGTCAAAAGTGAAGATAGAACACCATTTAAGTTCACTATGGCACTGTGCAAGAATACCTTACAGGTCCTATTTCAGCCATGCTGCTGGCATAGCCGGTCTGCCGTTACACATTTCCGTCTGTGCTTGGCAAACCTTCTGATTTGTTCATCGGAAGAAAACATGCATCTCAAAATACTTTATTCAGCTCTTATCTGTTTTAAAGTTAATTTTGTTGTAAATCTGCCCTTACACACATGAACTAAAGAGAAAATGCAAAGGCGCAAGTCAAACGCATGCCTCAAAATCGAGAAATTCACAGCGAAAGCTCATAGCAACGTTCACTGATATTAAGTGTCTCTAGCAGAGTAAATTAGTTGATACAAGCACCGCTAACCTAATTTGCAGGGACAAAGCCTTAATGATCAGGTTGCTGATGCTTCTTGCGCTATTGTACAAAACTTAGAGGCGCACTGAGAAATTGCCTGTTTTTTTTTTTTTTTTTTGTTTTGTTTTTTTAGTCTGGACACAGAAAAATGGGACACTTTTTTTGGTCAGTGAATGCACCACACCCAAGCGCTGCCAGGTTGCAGTAGCAACAAAAATGTGAGAGTTGCCGAGAAAATGCATCCACTGAGGTAAAAACAGAGAGAAAGCGCATAACATGAAGGACAGAAGACGTTTAACAAAAGGAAACCATTTTCCATAGATTCATGTCAACTGTCCATAGAGGTCGCCACAACAGAAAGCTACACTTGGGCTAGATGCTGGTCATTTCATGTTACTGCTGTTTTGATTTGATCATTCTGTACAAAAACAAACCCTCCACAGGCGGGAGGGTTTGTTCCAACCTTGGGAATATTTTTATAAAGTTGGCAAAGGCGAACAGACACAGAACCAATGTTATACTTTAACAGGAATGCTAAATGCGTAACAGTAATGTTTATACTTCTGAGCCTCTGACATGCTGTTGGAAAATGCCAGATTGAAGTTTAAGATCCATATTTTCTAGGGAATGCCCAAAGAGTCTAGGTAACCATGGTACAGGTGCCAACACCTGATACCACACAGAAAAGGTCATTTAAACTGTGAACTCTTATTATCCTATATTAAGTTAACATCCTGTTGAACAGCAACTGCTCTCTCACAAACGGTGACATTGCCTCTGCTCCCAATATACACAAGCTATGGCTAATCGCAGTGAGAAGGCTTGAAAAGAATATTTTGAATGCTGTTATTTATGGTTCTTAAAAAAAAAAAAAGAACTCAGAATCTGATAAAACTGAGAAAAGCAAAGCTTTACAAAAATCAGTGCTCGGAAATCAGCCACATATTTCAGATCGATGCATCTCTAACAAATCAGTTGTGGATCCAAAAGCGTCAGGGGAAAAGAAACCAGACGAAGGTCTTAAAATGGAAATATTTCAGTTCTTGGTCTTATTTACAATTTTTAGGAAAGAGACAGAGAAAGGCAACTTTAGATTTATCAGATGGCTCTTGTGCAAGTTCTGCTGTAATTTTTAGCGTAAACATTGATTTGGCACATTAAACTCTGCTGTAGTATACACATGATAAAAAGCTAGATGGATGACTTTGCAGATTTGCAATAATACACAGGGGCTTTAATTCAGTGCAGAACATTACCTCTGTACTGGATAAAGTGGTCAAAGACGAGAGGAATACTACACTGAATCTGCATGCAAACATACTTTTTTTTTTTTCTTTTTGAAACGATGCAATACATTCTCACACAGACAAACACACCTGCGCACAATAAACTAAACAAAGCCCTGTTGCAAAGGCAAATCGGCAGCTGAATTAATCCTGTGCTTTTGGATTTGGTTCATAGTTTAACTGAGAGAGGCGACGGCAGCCAATCACTGCGCGGCCTGCTTGGCTCGCTTGGTGTGGCACTTCATGCACAGGATCTTGCCGTCCAGCGGGTAACAGCCGTTTTCATCTGCCTCGATGGAGAGAGGGCGAGTGCAGTCCTGGGGAGCGAATAACATGTTTTAACTTCCTCCAGAATATGGTTCTACTTCAAGGAGATGCTGATCATTAAACGCCTTACCTCACAGCGGTAACACTTGAGGTGGAAGTTTTTATCGAGGGCCACCACTCTGACCGTTTCCTCGCTGCCGGGGTCGGGAATAATGGGTTCGTTACAGCTCACACACAGAGGAGAGAAACGTCTGCCAGGGAGCGACGCAGAGGGTGTTGGTTATTTCTCATGGATTCACAGTAAAACATTATAAAGCTCAAAGACAACCAATAACCGATCTTGAATAACATTTGATTCAGAGACAAAAAAAAAAAAAAAATCCTCCTAATTGTAACAGCTCAAATTTGAATCCTGTCTTCATGTTTCAGCTGCTTTCCACAATATCTATGCCAGATTCGACTATCCACACACCTCTTTTTCATAAGAATCTCCCCCCGCCCAACAAAAGCACATAACACTGAGTTACTGTTGTAAGAGTTTTCAGGCACCTGTGGTAATCCTGCACACAGTAGGGATTGTTGTTGTCGTCAGTGATAAATGGTGCGCCCTCCAGTACGCAGGAGCAGGTGCTGCAGCGGAAACAGTGGGCATGGAAACACTGTCCCACAGCCTTCAGCACACGGTCAGTGATTCTCTCCCCGCACCGAGAGCAGACGGCCAGGGAATTCTAACGAGCACAAAATAAAATTAAACAAGGAAACTCATGAATGTGCGGAGCGTTTAGCCGCTTTTACAAAGAGAAAATACTAAAACCTTGACGAGCTTCATAAAGTGGGACCTATTAAGTTGCAAAACCAAAAACGATTACATCAACCTTTTGACTTTTTTTTTTTCCCTAGCCTGCTACATTTTAATTTTACAGAGGAGTTGACACAACAACTCATCTGTTTATGCTGCATATGAACTATGCCTCCTCACCACATAACAGTCTTCACATTGTGGCGTGCCGTCCCTGTCATAGAACTGCATGCCCTGCAGGGGGCGATGGCAGCTCATGCAACAGAAGCAGTTGGAGTGGAAGAGTTTGTCCATGGCCCTCACCGCTGGCTGCGTACGGGACAGAGCCTCGCCACACTTCCCACAAACCTCTGAGGAAAAACCAGAAGATGTACAAACAAGTAGAAGAAAAACATTCTTCGTTGACAGAGATGAGCTTCTAATCACTACTGCTTGTTTTTAGTGTCATAAACTGTTGGGCACAGATGCAGTAGGCTCATTTAAACTCTTAAGACACACATCTGATGCTTTTAAACACTACAACAATTTTTTTAAATTATTCATAGGAAATATTGATGAACCTCCTGCTTGAATCTGTTCCAAAACATTTAATCAAAAGCTGCTTAATGACTGCAATGAATGAAAACGACATCTGCCATTCATCTACATTAGTACTGATAATCACGGTGCGAAGCAGACATAAAGTTTAATGATTTTCTAATCAGCGTGGAAAATAGCTGCATGAGAAGAGAGGAGTGATTAATGTCTCCGTTTGTGAAACACAGTTGTACCTGTTGGAGGGGAGGTGATGATGGGGGCTTGTTTGTCCATGTTTTTAATGAAGTCCTGGGTCATTCTCTCCAGCTCCTCCACTTCCTTCATGTTTAGTGGGACGCCACCGCCAGGAATGGAAACTGGGCCAGGAGGTGATGGCTGTCCACACCAAAACAGAAAAACGCATGAAGTACAAATGGCGCTTTGGTAGTTTTATAGATTATGACCAAAACACACAACTGAATTTATGCTCAAACATTATTTAAATACAGTCAATGGCAAAAAAAAAAAAAAAAAAAAGAAATTTAGGGGGGGGAACCCAAATCCATTTT